TACTTTTCTATCTTACTCTTTGTATTATGTGAAGATAAATTATTTTCAATCATTGTGCATTCTGCCCTGTCTTCCCCTGCTGTCTTCCTACAAAAAATCATTTCCAAATGAGCTGGAGAACTGGAAACAGGGGGATCCTTCTACTTTATAATCCTTTCCTGAGTACCTTAATGAACAATGATAATTGTTTTTACAGATATTTTTAAATGTTCCAAATAATGCAGACATAAAATAGGATTAAGGAATTGTAAATCATAAAAATCTCTGTTTTCTTTCTTTTTTCTCTCAGACTTTCTTTGGAGACACAGGAGATTTCAAAATCACCACTGTTGTTTATATCCAGTGATTTTTAAAAAATACTAGAGTCAAAATCTCATCACACAGAATTCAAAATTCATTTCTTCAGGTTTATAATCGAGTCACAATTTCACTCTGGGCAATACTTTTTATGTAAGAGACAAATCATTTTTCCCCTGCTAAATTTGGTACTTTGAAGTCTGGAAGAGGAGTAAGAGAGAGAGGACCAGGCAGCTCTCCGCAGTGTAACCTTAACTGTCTTCATTCCTCTACAAGTTGACAAGACTCAGAAAGGTCAGGGCATGGGATAAAAAAGATGATCTGGTTCTCTTGTGACATGTAGAAGTCAGAAATCATGTGGCACTTTTCAAACAAAACAACAAAAGTTCCTGCAAAGGGAAATAGTCTGGTAATTCCACTACCTAAGCCTACATTTAAGTCACAAGTTAAGCTAGCATTTTATGAGGAATTAAGCATCAGTAGGTGCACCATGGAGTGGAGGACAAGGCATATTGGTAAGGCCAACTTCTTGAATGGTTTTTCTTGGTTTTTTTTTTTTTTTGTCAAAAACATGAAGTCAAACTAGAACTCAGGTAATGACATGAAAGGATGTAGTAAGTGCTTTTCATCCCTACTTTTTCTTCGCTGTTCTCAAGTAAAAAGAAAAACCCACATACAGTAGAACTATCAGGTCAAGGCACACATCCATATACTCCAGAATCCCATGATACAGCCCACTGTTGCACTCAGCAAGTCAGATCTGTATTACACCGTGTGTTGAAGTCTTTGTGTTCTGCTTACAGTCCTTTTTATTGTTAACAACGTCCTAGCTACAGTCCATAAAGAAATGCCGAGCTTTGTTCACGCACAGCTTTTGTCAAAGGAAGACTGGCAATGAGACAAGCCAAGACACGAGGCTCCACAAAATCAAACTGAAATATTATCCTGAAACAATGCTCTGGGACTCTTCTTGCCCTTTGGCAAGGTTTCTATATGCAAGTGGGAGACAATGCAGACTGAAGAGATCTATCCCTTTTACAAGTTTTACTAATTCTTATTAGGCTGGTTCATGAGTTCTCTGGGCCCCCCAGCAGAAGATTTTAATCATATTGTGCCTTCTGTGCTACAGTGATCACAATGCTAATCTCTGTAATTCCACATTTGGGAGCCCACTTTTCAAAAGTGTAAACAACTGATGCTGCCTTTATAAAGAACATTTTTCCAGAGGGAATGCAATGGTAGAGTTATAGAGAAACATCATAAGCCAAAAACTGGGGGGAAAAAAAAAAATTGCACTATGAGTAATAAACCATTCTCAATTTTCTTCCCTTATTCTGTAGAACGTGCTCAAATAAAATATATGTAAGTAATATTTTGTGAGGGAGCAAACTTTGACCCTTTCTACTTACAGGTATCAGACACTTTAAAGGAAAACGAAGAAAGTGAATTTCTGCATCTGCAGGAATGGAAGAACAGGTTTCTTAAAAGCAAGAAACAAGAGCAGCAAGAGTGAAAATACGGACTCAGAGGGAAGAAAAGTCTAATAAAATATTTGTGTTTCTCCATGCCATAAAAACTGATGCCCTACCAGATTCCCTAACAGCTCCTGAAACCACATTTTTTTCTTCAGCTTTCCATTTTGAACACTATTTTGCTTAGCATCTCTGAAACGCTTTCACTATTCAGAGCTAATATTTCCCTCCTGTGAGTGAATTACATAAGGATGGCAGCAAAGACTACCTGCAGAACCAAATTCAACCATCCACATAAAGCCATTCTGGAAAATAAACCCATACCTTTAAAGAAAAAGACCTGTCCAATTCCTAAAGGTCTTCAAGCTTGATAAATGGCAAGAGCTCTGAGATGATAGTGCAGTCATGTTGTAATACTGTTTAATGGCATTTGCTGTCAACATTATTCATACAAGGATGCTATTGACTTGTAATTCCTTGAAAAGACAATCTTTTACAAAACCCATATTACTGAAATCCTTGAGTGTTTTACTATTACAGAGATTGCAGATGACTTCATAGGATCTATTAATGCTCCAAGTGACAGGATGCTACAGCAATTGGCTAAATTTAGAGAAGAAAAAGAGAAAAGCAGATATATAATTGAGTTCCTGCAATAAGAAAATGCAGGCACTGTGCCAAATCTTGCATTAACTATCCCAAATCTACTAAGATATTTCTTCCACTGCAATTAATTTACATTGCACTATTAATAATGGCGTAACTCGCGCACTCTTGATCTCAGGGTACAATACCATTAATGCTACAGTAGTCCAACATAAAAATTTACACACATTTTGAAAAATTATGAAATGCATATTTCAGAAAATTTACCAAGCAGTTGAAGCTGGGATAATGCACTTACTATGTTTGCAATGCTCCCACATTTCTTCTAATACGTAACATAGAGGGTCAGAGGACTTTAATCTATGAGGTCAGAATATTGCAAGATAATGACTTTTGTCCACACCAGAAAGTAACAGCATTAAAATAGATGCAGTAATCCTCTTTTTTGTATTACCCTATCAGCTTTTCGTAGTTTTATGTAAGAATTACTATATTTTTATTTGCATTTGCTCATCCCTTCCTCCAGTTAGAAATATGACATACTTTAACATTTCATAATCTATCCCATTTATTACGGAATAGTTAGAAGACCTCAGAAGTGGAAAAAGTCTGTATTTCAGTGACTGTATTATGATATGTTCTTTATAAATTTATACACAGGCCACAGGAGATTTATGAAGTGCAAGATTTCAAGATTATGGTACTGGAGACAATTTCCGGTACATCAGAGAAAGCTGAGGACTTATGAGTTTTCTGACTGAGATTCTTTTTGCTGAAACTTATCAAGAAAATCTTTTGCAAACACCAGGAAAGCATTAGAAGGTTTGTGCAAAAATTTAGGGTTTAGCTACTCTAGACTTCACAAATTCTCAGGCAGCTGTTATGACCTGTAGTCGTAACAACTTTAGAGGGGAGATGTGATCTAATCCTCACTGGACTTCCTCTGCATTTAACATGCATTATTTCCCTGCTTTTCCAGAAGATTATGCAAGATTGGGTTTAGCTCTTTTTCACTTCCACCACTTACAAAATTTCTCAAACCCTCTAACCTCAGCATCCCAGAGACTTCCAGGTCACTCTGGAAAGCACATGGAGGATGGAGAAGGCAGGATTGTGGAAAATGCTATTACTTCTCCTATTTTTTCCCCCAGTCACCCTCGTCTTCCACCCAGTTGTCCTGGGTTAAACCGCAACACAAGCCTACCCAGTCTTCATGTCTAAATACAAAATGGCTATAGATTGCTTGTATCTTTCCTATGATACTTTGTTCCCTCAGCATGTTTGCCACAACTTTGAGACCCATTAGGCAGATTGGTGCAATTACTACTAAATTTAAAACAAAATTTAAAAAAAAGTGAATAAACACAAGTCTACATTTAGAACTAGAAGCTAAAGAACATGCCACAAGAGCTTCACCCATACAAATATTTGCATGTGTTGTGATGGCTGTTGCCAGGAAAAGGAGTGAAGGCTGAAGGAAAGAAGAGAAAAAAGTTTAATAAAGTTGAATCTTCTGCATATTTTTAGTAGGACATGTTCCAAGATGCTGCTCTTTTCTTTAAGGTAATGGCAAAGGATACTGCTGCCCAGGGACCAGATATGGTCTTCAACTTCAGTTTAATGGCTTACTGGAATGATTTTTTTTTTCCATATTACTATTGCACAGCATTAAGAGGATTACGAATGTGTGATTCATCAAAGGGATTTTACTGCTCCCCTCAGTACTCAACCAGGAAAAGATTTCCCATTTGGTCTTCAAGTGTTTTGAAAGTTTTGACAAATCATGCAAAGCGCACAACCTTAATTCCTTATGACTAATCAAAAGTAAACTACATCCACTTTAATTCTGTATGAGAGCCTCTGTTCAGGGATTTACTGATCCCCCCTTTTTTTTCCTTTTCCCATTTAACACCTTTAGTTAATTAATCTGAACATTTAAGAGAATTGCTTTTTAGACATCACCTCTACACTCATTCTTATTATTCATCATTAAATCATTTCATTACTGCCCCAAGAGTATTCAAACTTCACAATACTACACCCCCGTCAAGGTCTTTTGGAACATTCATTTTGGAATATCTGCGGTGAACCTTAAACCAGTCAGAGAACTGTCACTGTAGTAGCAGTAGTATTTAAGGAAACTTTTAAATGTGGCCTAGAATTACAGGGAGAAGCTGATCCTTAGGATAACTCTGCAAACTGCAGTAGAATTGCATTACAGTAGAGTTAGGAGTCCACAGATTAAGAGCAGAAATGATTAAAATGTCATCATCCAAAACCAGGAAGAAATGTTTTCTTGGATGCCTTATTCATAGGCAGGTAAACATGTACTGGCTTCTATACAAATGCAACCTTCACCCAGATGTGCTGGTTTTCCTAGAACACTGTATTTCCAAAACACAAAATCAGTATCTATATGGATATTCATCTAGCGGCTCTGACTGGATCTTCAGGAGAACTATAAAGCTTGGTGAAGACCTCCTGCCGCTTTCTTGAGGCTGTGGCCTTTATAATTTCATTATGATTTGTTGTTTTGCTATCATCAATATTTCCAAATTTGATAGAGGGGAAATGGAACATACACCTCAGAACAGTTTGCACTATCGGTAACACTCAGCTGCTTACCTGTTTGACAGTGTAAAGGAGGCGACCATAGCAGTACATCATGACCATCACAGGGATGACCAAGCAGAATATGAAGAGACAGATGATATAGGATGTGGACTTTGCTGACTCCGAGGACCAGCGCACTGAACAGCTTGTACCTGCCCCTTCTACCCCGTAACTGCTCCAACCAATCAGAGGGGGCACAGTCCAGACCAGGGAGTAAATCCATGAACCACCAACTGCAAGCAATGCCTTCTGGTAGTCAGCGCTGCGCTTGTTGCACAGGGTGAGTGTGCTGTAGCGTTCGTAGGACAGGACAGCCAGGGAGATCAGGGACACAATGCCTGCAATGAATCAAGCAATTTAAATGCTTACTTTCATTATTCATTATTTCATGTGGCATCCATCTTAAACCCTAAGAAATTAGATGCTTTTCTGGTTATTACGTATTTGAAGCAACAGTAAAAACTATTTACATTATTCTGTATGCTTAAATCCTCGCAGGATTTGGTTGCTCTATCCCTTGTGTCAAATTCTGTGTAACTTGCATTTATCTTATATTGGAAGATTTTTGTACTTCAGACTTTTAAAAGCAGCTTCCCAGATTTAGCTGGTTTTCTATTATCCAAGGGAAATCCATTTTCACATGAACTAATAAAACGTTGAAAGATTCCCTTGCTAAGAAATATTCAATTTTTAACATCCATGAGCATTTTCAAATATTGCATTGACTTTTATACATGCAAAAAGCTTTCAATTCAAGATTGGGAATCCCAAAATGAAAGAAGCTTTTGCACAAATGCCCCATCAGCTGGATATATCTTTAGTTCTCACCAGATATGGAAACAACAAACAACCCTTGGCATGACTGTGATACAGCAGGTCATAACTTTATTTACATGTGCACCATATAATCAAGTTTAAAAGTTATTTAAGTTAAAATTGAGCCCTAGCTGCCAGACCAGTTATATCTTACAATCGAAGATTCAAAAATCTGGTTAGTAGGACATTTCTACTCTCTCTTCCAAGATTTGAGGTCCTGACTCCCTCTACAAACCTTCCAACAAATCTGCTAACAGAAAAGGTGATCTTCAGAGGAATTCATAGCTGTACTCCATTTTTTCCCCATTTAACTGTCAGCTTTTCTTGTAGCTCCTTCCTAGGCATAGAATAGAGGTGATAGTGCTAGGCTAGCCTGTACCCAGGCAAAACACCCCACACAAAGGGCACAGGAGAGGATTCTCCCCAGGCACAGCATTTTCCTTCTCCCCCCTAAAATTCAGTGACTCCTTTCCTATTAGCTGGATGCAGGCACATTCCTGCCATCTTGACAGCAATTTGCAGTTACTCTGTGCAGAGCTGGTTATGGCAGAGGACCCAGGGGGAATGAAAGTACTGCTTGCTGCAATAGGATGCCTTATTTCTCAGGGGAAGAGAAGGCAAAAGGTGTGAGGAGAAGGCAGGTCCTGATGAAGAAAACATCTTTCTTGTTATAAAAGCCCACTGTATATTACAGGGAAGTCAGACTTCTTTTAAAAGTAGATACACTTAGAGCTGTAAAATGACACAGGTCCACTAAATGCAACTGAGTTACACATTTTAAGAGTGTAATTTAAAAGCTTTTTTAAAGCTAGACTATTTTAGAGGCAGAATAGACTTTCTGATTATCCCTCATCTAATCTGATTTCCTACATTACATAGTTTTGAAAGCCCGCTTCCGTAATTCCTGCATTAAACACATATGTCAATATAGAAAAAAAATAAAAATAAAATAAAATAGCAGGTTCTGAAATACAGACTTGGGAACAAAGAATCTACCATTCTCTTCTTGCTTCCAGCCCATACTTGTTTATCTTCACTTTCTGAGCATTGCCACTTCCCATGCTTTTACCTGCTCAACTAAAGAGCTTCTCACTATCAAAAGCTTTTAGCTCATGTAGGTACCTAAGGCAAAATTCCAGATTTTATACTGAAACTTAGGCCTCAATATTTCTGCATTTTAGATGAGACTGTCATGCACTAATAGAAAACAGTCTTGGCAACAAGAAATCTCTCCCCTCCCAGCTGAATGCTCTATAGCAACCCTGTATTATTCTTGCTTTACCTCCGATGGCAACAGAGGGCATTATGTCCCTATTTTGAGGAGATGGCAGGTGAGATGTACCTTCAGGCTGAGAATATCCTTCAAGTCCTGCAGGTACAGTTTTGCCTAGAAAACCCAAATAGGGTGGTCAAACTTCTCTAGCTCAGGGCCCTGCTTCCTGGGTGGCTGCTTGAGCCATTGGGCTCCCAGGTCAAGTCTGAGCAACGCCTGCTCAACCCTGCAGCTGTGCTGCTGTGCAGCAGCTTCTTATGGTGTGTATGATCACAATTTATAGCATTGTTTACACTTCCTCGTATTTTTGCCTGTTGGCCAATAGAAAAAAGACGCTCATCTTTTCTCACACTGGTATTTATGATGGACAGCTTTATGAAGTAGATCTGAAGATAACTACCCATGAATGCAAGATTGTTTGCTTTGAGACAAAGAAAAAGCCTCTTTAACTGACATAAAATTAATACTTAGTTATTAAATTAGGACCATGCTGATGCCAGTAAAGAATAAATCAAATATTAGCAGACAAAACCACAAAAGTTGCCTTTAGATTATAGCAAATCATTTTTCTTCTCTATGCAGAAGAAAAAGGAGACTCTTAATTACACATCTTGGCTGGAGCCTTTTCATCTTTATTCACCTTTTATTGTTGAGTTCCACTGAAATGACGTAAACTACATTTTTCTCTGGAGGACAATAACTGTGACATATGGAATCCCAGGCCACAAAAGTTTAGGGAAAAAAAAAACATTTTTTTGTCATAGTAAGACTTCAAGATCTGTGCTATACTTGAACTTCTTAATAAGCACTGAAATTAACACCACTGTGCTTTGAGTTCTAATGATTTCAAGACAACAAGGGGAAAAGAAAGCACTGAGAAGGCAGCCTAGAAGAGATATTAGAATAATTCAATGTTCTTCATGTACTTAAAGTTAATGAAGCCCAGCTAACTTTTAAGAAAAATTACAATATTTTGAAAGAATGAAACCAGTACTTTGAAAGACAAAAAAAGGCTGCAGTGAAGAGCCAAAACCAAAACAAAAATTAAACAAGTAGCTTCTACCCCACAGTGAGATACATTCCATTGCATTGGCTGCAAGTAATAAAAACACCTATTACCCAGGGAGGAAGAACCTAAACAACAGGGGCCATGACAACCCTCTCTGTCTGCTTTGTGTGATTTTGTGCAGGGTACACAAACTTGGGACCCTCTGCACCCCAACACTGCAGTTCTACCCAACCAAGGGTCTTTCATCTTAACACAGAAATCAGGAATAGACGAAACCAAAACAGAATGTCCATCAAGAAACAACTCTGTTCCAATACCATGGTAGGTTATCAGCTCCAATGTCACCATTTGCTAAGAATACCCTTAGCTTTTTAATTTTAAAAAGTGGGGTTTTGGTTTTTGGGTTTTTTAAAGCTCACTCTCATTTGATGCTTGCAGCAGATACATAGGCCTAATTTGCTGGACTGAAACAAGATTATTTCCTAACGAAGGCAAAACCTGGTTTTGTATTCAGTATTTAGTTTGACACTGGATGAAAGTTAAAAACAGGGATCAGGTGTGTAAGTTAGTGAATGAGCTGCCAACAAAAACCTGATTATTGCCTTGTCCTCTACATGCTTTTCAATAGCACTCAGTATGATCTTCATAATTTTTCCACACTTTCAGTCTTCCCTTTCACCCTTCTTGTAATCCAGTTTAGATAAAGTAGAATACAACTTCTCACTTTTCATTGTGCCTACTATTTCTGCGTATCAGACTTGTGTCATATGCATTTAACTGTTGTGGTCTTTGTCAGAAATCCTGCAGTTATCTGTATTCTATTTTACACCCTATCTATTGCAGTCATAAGAATTTGTGAGAATCTCAGCTTTAAAATAAAAAGCAATTAAAAACTTTAGACTTATGGCAGAGGAAAAGATTTGAATGTGATCTCCATAGTCTTAACCAGAAAATAATTTAAAAATTATTTAAGTTATAAAAAGGAAAAAGCTAATTATAATTTCAAGCTAAGCACAATGCTTTATGCAAGCATTTCAGTCTTATTTTTGCAATAGCATTTATGACTGGCTTGACTGTGTATATGGATTTGAAATGAGTAATGCTTTCTAAAATTGAAACAAAATTAAGTTCAGGAATTGAAAATCTAAACAGAATTTGCCTCCAACAAATATTTAGGGTCTTGAGCTGGTACCTAGCCAAGTAACTCCACAGGAGTCAATTACAGTGAGAAATGTAATTTGTTCTTCCAACATTTCATGCAAATACAGGAACAAAGCTGAGGTTCTCACTGAGCAGTACTGGAAAATGACATAAAAATCCACTGCAGATTGAATTACAGAAACAAATAATTATTAAAAAATTAACCATGGAAATAAGTGACTTTGAGACAAGCTGGATGTGAGGCAAAAGCCTTTCCTGCACAGCAATTAGTTGCAGTGCAAGAAACTCAATTTCAAGTTGTAAACCAGGATAGGCATGCATTTATAGGACTATCATCTGAGTCGTTACCTACTATTTACTTTCATTTAAAGATCTTCTTGGCAGCACAGCAGAAAATATGCTGTGAAGGACACAGCAAATCATTATGCTTTGTCCCTGTGAATCCCAGCTAAGAGCACAACATTTCGTATTAGTTTTTGCTGGTTTACACTGCATACTGATGCAGTAACTAGAAATAGGATGCAGCTTGCCAATCATCTGTAGGTTATCATAAACTGAGTCCCAGAGATTCCGTCTACACTGGATGTTTTGACTACGAATTTAAGTGTATTTGCCCTGTTAAATCTCCTGAAGGTCATTATCCTACATCATGATTAGAGTCCTGGAGCATCACACTTGCATGACATAATGATATCCTGCACTGCATTCTGGTTCCCAAAGATGAAGGGCAATGAAAAGAAGCTAGCAGTAAGCTTAGGCACACTGACCTTGGAGGAATGCAATGGCATTCCTTCTTCCACATGACATTAAAGCAGGAAAACTAAATCAAATTGCTCAGAAAAGGCCAAGATGATTTTATTGCACGCAATCCCCATCCAGGCTGATTTTACCCACTCACAGTAAGTCATTCACTCACACTCTCACACCCACAAACACGAAGGTCTGTATTTTACAGGTCTGTCCAGGACCTCTTGTGCAACAGGGAGAAGAAGGGATTCTGGCTATCAGTTCCTCAAACCTCTTGCTTACAGGTACCTCCCTGGCAACAAACTGAGGTTTTCAAGAGGCACCACTCCTGT